TAATAATACTTAACCTAGGTGTTACTAATACCATTAATTTACTCTAGTATATAAAAGCCTGCATCAGTTACCACAACATAATATTACTCTGCCATTTCAGATATGCCTGCAGGACGAGCAAATTCGTCGGCAGTGATTGCTGAGCGAGGCCAAATCATCGGGATGTGGAGACCAACTGTGCCGAACATTGCTGTCAAGTGGGAGGAGCACCAAGACGATTAGGAGGTGGATCCGCCGGTGGAGGAAGAGGGCTCAGTGGAGACGAACCCTCGAAGCGGGAGCCACGAGTAACGTCGGCAGGGATGGACGCCATGATCGTGGCAGCTGCAACGGCATATCCAATGCGAACATCAGTGGAGCATACAGAAATCTGGGCCTCAACTGCCATCACATGACGACGAGACGCCGACTGTGAAGCCGGGATCGACTGCCATATTCCAGCTCACAAAGGGTGGCTAACACCTACTCACAAGGAGTGTCGACTCGGCTTTTGCATTGGAACACCTTCCACATAGAGAAGAATACTGGAGAACCATATATTTACCGATGAAACGGTGTTTAGTTCAGTGGGAGCCGAAGCAAGGCAGTGCTGGCGGCCCCCCGACACACGCTACCATGAGAAACAAATTCAACATCGTGCAGTGAGTAGTAGGGTGTCAGTGTCATTCTGGGGGTGGATGTGGGCACATGGGCCAGGTGAACTGGTCAAGATCAATGGCCATTTCACTGGTGAGCAGTATGTAGACATCCTGGAGCAAGTGCTAATTCCTAAAGTCTGGGCTATGGCAGTTCCAGCCCCCCACACTATCAGGCTGATTCATGACAACAGTCCAATTCATACCAGCAACATAGTGAAGGACTACCTCCAGGATCACCCTGAAATTGAGGTCATCGACTGGCCAACACTAGGATGTGATATTAATCCGATTGAACATATTTGGGCCATGATGAAACATGATTGGGATATTGAGGAGCAGCGAACCTGTGCAGCAATAGAGGCCAAAGCTTACGACGTGTGGGAGAGTATACGTCGACGACCAGGGGTGTGCCTAATCCCCTTGATGAAGTCCTGAATGCAATGGGTGGCTGGACCAAATACTAAGATGTGTGTATTGGTGTATTGTTTGGATTTTAGTATTGTTTGTAAATACAATTAATATATATTAACTCACCTACAGTGTTATCTTAAATCCATGTCCTTAATGATGTCTTAAACTATCTTGCATGAAAATTCATAACAAAGTAACTTAACAGCCACAAATTATGTACTGTGTGGTATACAGTGATCTGTATGACACGTCGTGGAATGTGTTATCTTATAACACAATATAATTATATAGTTACAATTGCTACCATCATTGAAATGCTCATGATGTTCAGCACACAATATTAACGGTAACTGAGCACACTCCAAAATATATGAAGCTTGCATATTGTGGTGGGGTGTTTAAACACTGGAGACCTAATGTGTTGCCTAACTCCTGGGTCTTCACTGTGGGTGTTCCAGTTATGGGTTGAGGAGAACCCATGCAAGACCATGAATAATGCTGCCACGACCACACGGCCACCTCACGTTCCCTTATGAGAGGAGAGGTTGGCCAAAGCCTTATTTTTCTCTATCTGCAAGAGCTGAGAATGGGATGTATAGAATACGTTGAGGTGACGGTAACCCGAAACAAAGTTCACATGGATTCCATGTGGGTCACTGAGAATTGTTGTAGTGGTGGTGGTGTAGTTGGGTGTGTGTTGTGACGGTCGGCCAGTCCCAGCACCTGCCACCCCCCCCCCCCTTCCACCCACACGCACTTTTTCACTCCACTCCACTCTTTTTAACATAAGTATATAATTATATAATATTGCATATTATCATAAATATTTATTAAGCAAAGGATGGGTGGAATATAAATAAATATCACCATAATCTCTTTGTCGGAATAACAACATAATTGTGATGTGGTCGCTGTAGGGGCGGAAACGATCTTCCTGCTCGTTACCGCTGCTTACTCTCTCGTTTGCTGGCGCGACCCCCCACTTGGGAGGGTTGGACGGGACAGATTCTACTCAGCCGTCAGTACAGTCACTACCTACCCCGCTGTTCGTCAAATAAGAACATAAGAACACAAGAAAATAAGGAGTCTGCAATAGGCCGGTTGGCCTGTGCATGGCAGCTCCTGTCGAGAGTTACTACCACTCTCTATCATCCATGAATCTATCTAGCCTCCTTTTGAAACTTTCCAGAGTTCCGGCACTTACTACAAAGTTGCTAAGCTTGTTCCACTCGTCCACCACCCTATTTGTGAACCAGTTTCTTCCTATCTCCATCCTAAACCTAAACTTATCCAACTTGAATCCGTTGCTCCGAGTCCTATCCTGCTCGGATATTATAAGAACTTTATCTTTATCCCCTTTATTGATTCCTTTCACCCACTTAAATACTTCTATCATATCTCCCCGCACTCTTCGTCTTTCTAGGGAATGCAAGTTAAGTTTCTTTAACCTATCCTGATATGGAAGGTTTCTAAGTCCCGGAATCATTTTTGTCATTCTTCGCTGCACCGACTCTAGTGAATTTATATCCATTCTATAATAGGGGCACCAGAACTGAACCGCATAATCGAGGTGCGGCCTGACTAGCGCAAGATATAGTTGCAATAAGACCTCTGCACTCTTGTTACTTACACTTCTAGATATAAAACCCAATACTCTGTTTGCCTTATTTCGAACATTAACGCACTGTTTTCTAGGCCGTAGGTCCGGGCTTACAAGTACCCCTAGGTCTCTTTCACAAGTCGACTTCTCTAGGTTGATGTCGTTAAGGCTGTATACATTATAAGTATTTGTTCTTCCAATATTAAGTACGCTGCACTTGCTGGTGTTGAATTTCATTTGCCATTTTTCAGACCACCCCTGCAGTTTATTTAGATCCTCCTGTAATACATTTGCATCCTGCCCTGAATTAATTTGCCGCCCTATTTTGGTGTCATCCGCAAACTTGCTTATGTCACTGCTGATCCCAGTATCTAAATCGTTTATGTAGATTATGAACAAGAGTGGGCCTAGTACTGACGCCTGGGGAACCCCACTGGTTACACGGCTCCACTCAGATTTAACACCATCTACGCTGACCCTCTGCGTTCTCTCGGTGAGCTATGATTTTATCCAATTTAAAACTTTCCCCTCGATACCATGAGCCTTAATTTTTCTCAGAAGCCTCTGATGCGGCACTCTGTCAAATGCTTTGCTAAAGTCTAAGTAAATAACATAGTAATTTTCGTCATTATCTACTACCTCGAAGACTTTCCTAAAAAACGTTAGCAGATTTGTTAGACAAGATTTTCCCTTTGTAAACCCATGTTGAGAGTCGTAGATTAATTTGCTTTTCTCTAGATGCGATCGGATGCTATCTGCTATAATTGATTCAAGAAATTTCCCCACTACTGACATCAAACTGATCGGCCGGTAATTTGATGCTGATGCTCTGTCTCCCTTTTTGAATATGGGTACTACATTTGCCTGTTTCCACAACTCTGGCACAACTCCAGTGTCTAATGATTTTGTAAATAAGTTTACGAGGGGTCCGCTAATCTGTTCCCTACACTCTTTTAAGACTCGAGGAAAAATTTCATCCGGCCCTGGGGATTTTGTATTCTTTAGTTTATTTATCTTCTTAAGAACATCCTCTTTTCTGATAGTGATATTCTTTAATTTCTCTTCTTCCTTTCCCTTAAATATCAGTTCCACCTCCGGAATTTCATCGCAAATTTCTTCTGTGAAAACTGATAAGAAGTAGCTGTTCAATGCTTTGCTTATTTCTTCACTGCCATTTATCAATTCTCCCCTCCCTGACTTTAAAGGCCCAACTTTGTCCTTGACCTTTGTCCTATATACCAGGAAAAATCCCTTGGGATTCGCCTTGGATTCTCTTGCTATTTTGGTTTCATAGTCTCCCTTTGCTTTCCTTACATTTTTCTTAACATTCCTAGATAGTTCATTATACCTGTTTCTGAGCTGCTCCTCCCCTCCCTTTAATTTCTTATATATTCCTTTCTTTATTCCTATGTCATGTTTAAGTTTTCTGGTCATCCACCTTGGCTCATTCTTATTTGACCTAATTTTTCTGTATGGTATATTTTGTTCTTGTGCTTTATGTAGTATACAAGTGAATATATTATAGTCATGATCAATTGTTGTGTCATCTATGACCTCACCCCTTCCTACTGGGAACTGACGTGACTGTTCCCAGGTAACCTCACCAAGGTACCTTCTTAACCCCTGATAATCCGCCAACCGAAAGTTTGGCTGTGATCTCATCAAGGCTCGGGACTCGTGGGCCGTGTCCCCAGACCTTCACCTATCGACTGTCAATCCTCTATACCCCATACCACGACCGTCAGTTCATCTCCTCCGTCTGTGCCCCTGTGTTCTCCTGCTATATCAGGACATCGGCCGCTGTCTCTCGAGTGAGGACCATCCCCCTGAGAGTGGATCACTGTGTTCCAGAACCTTCCCCAGGGCTGCTGCCGTAGGAAATATCTGTTCATTGTTTGATTCTTTGTTATTTGATTCCATTAATTGCTGACTCCCTTTCATTGTTTGATTCTATCAGTTGTTGACTCCCATTAATTGTTTGACTCCATTAATTGTTTGACTCCATTAATTGTTTGACTCCATTAACTGTTGACTGCATTAATTGTTTGACTCCCGTAATTGTTACTTGATGTTTGTTGAGTGGTGTCAGAGTTTTGTTATAATTTTATAGTAAAGAGATCACAAACGGTTGTTTGTTATTCCTCAGAAAACCATGGTCCTTGACTTTCCTTTTTTAAGATCCTGATTAGTCTGTCCCTAAGTCCCAGGCCTTTACAGTCGCTGAGTAAAACTAGCTGACCAAGGCCCTTCACCCTGATCCTTGCATATTTCACTTTTATCCTTAATATATTCCATTCTTTAAAGTATCATTGTGACCTGAGCAGCAATAAGCACTCAGGGCACTGCACCTGTTCCATGAATTCGTAACTATAAAGAAACAACTGTAAGACAAAACGTAGTTAAAAGGCCAGCTTAAAATTATGGTTGTATAAATAATCTATAAACCACTCTTTAGTGAGTAATTTAGGACCATATATCATGTAGCAGTCTGGTTGAGGCCAGACAGTTCTTTTTCCTTAGCCTTTATTCATGTTTGTAACTTTTTCTTCTTATGCATAGTCCCAAACGCCAGCCATCCTACCCTCCAAAGTGTCTTGCACCCCAAAGTCCATAATCTTCCAATTACAAGTAATCATAGCTTTTCCCTAAATTTACTGCAGTCATCAGTGTCAAGTGACAATGCCAAATACTGTATATGAATGCTCGTCGTGAGACGTCGTATATGCCGCAGAGTTGTAGAAGCATGCATGTCCGAGTGACATCATAGGGAATAATGTGGGGAGGTGAAACGCTGAGGCCCAGGGAGCTTTGTCGCACATCTCCACAGAGATTAACGTTTTTTATACTGCTGTTCTAACGCCTGAGATACTGCTAAATGCAGTAATATTTGTTCTACAGGACTATACTAATTATGCTGTTTCAGCCTCGTTTTATTGTTCGGTAACACTACATTACAACTTATATAATTCAATCTTATCAGTAAAATAAACCATCTGTCACATTTCTCAAGTTATCAGTACCGTGTATAGGGTTCGTGATAATGCTCCACTCTTACACAACCTACCTCTCATCCAGCCCCCACCTCCTCTATTCCCCTCCCCCAACCCCACACACACTACAGTGGGCGACATCTGTTGGCCGACCATAGCATTTCCCCCAGCTGTTTCCCAACTTCAAACTCAGGTTATTCGAACTCTCACTGTGGCTGGGTAGTGGACACGACTTTTGTGCACGATAGTACAATGTATATGTGTATGATCATGTGAACCAGATCCCCCCAAAAATTATGATGACATTTTTCAAACCAAAACTGTTCTTTCATTACCTTGCTCTTGGATTAAAATATTTTCTTCCTTTCCTGGAGTAAGATGTGGCAAACCTTCAAATTCCACATCATCCATAACACCAAGAATTATTTCTTCAGTTTTGGTGATGGGTGGACAGTCAGCTGGACCTCCACCTGTAAGTGAAATTAAATGCATTAATATTGTGTTAGTTAACTTTGCAAATTTTGGAACATCTTTATTTATGAGGGTTAATATTTAAAAGGTGCCAACACTTACATATATACTGAATCTTATATAGGGAAAAGAAACTCCCTTATACAGTATATGTAAATTAAGGTGAGGTTAGGTTAGGTTAACATTTCGATGTAGAATATTGAAAGTTTAAAGGTCTACAATTGTGTGTGATTTTATTGGTTAAAATATTTGAAAATTTTACGTTTCCGACGGAAACCCGGATGTCTTTGGCTTCACGAGCAGCACTCAAAATATTTAAATATATATTTTTTTTAATGCTGCTTCTTTTTTTTGAGGGGGGGGGGAGGGTAGAACAAAAATATAGCCCTTTTAAATTTAATGTTCTTCCTCAAAATGTTAACCTAACCTAAGTTAACTTACCCTAACCTAAGTTAACCTACCCTAACCTAATCTGAACCTGAATTTTTATATCTAAGGCTGTATCTTTTCCCAATATAACTTCTTAAAATTTACCATTATTCACCTTATGACAACACCAGCAGCTGTGAAAATTCGTTTTTATCCCAATTTCCTCAAATGGTATGAGATAATATTTTTCTAGTGTATTTCTGTGTTTTTAATTAGCTTAACCTCACCTAAAAATGAATCCTAGTGATAATGGTAAAAATCCGAAATACCTATTAGGATAAAAACGAATATTAACCCTAGCAGCCACTATTACATGAAATGTATTTGCTAAACTAGATTATCTTTAAAAAAAAAAAGGCTGATCGACCCCCAACTAAACATCTTTGAGGCTACCCTAACCTAACCTAAGCTCAGTGAATAAACAACCAAAATATATGAAACACAGTGATCTTACCTGTTTGTTTCATTGCTTGATTGTTGATTTAAGATCTTTCTACATTTCTCACAGGTTAGGTACAGTAGATTATAATTTGCCCGCGACTCGTCAATCATCGTTTTTTAGCGTCCATCCTGGGCTGGGTGTGGAGCAGTGGCCAACACCATTACTACTGCCACCTCATCACCTCACATTGATTTCCATGACTAATAAACGTATTACAGGGTGGACAAGTTGTTTTCTATCCAACAATCCATTCTTATTTTTTTATCATTTAATTGTGTTTTATATCCTCGAGAGAGGTTGGGGAGAGGTTGAAGTGATCAAGTCACCATTCATTATTATTTTTTCAATTAATATTTTTTTCAAGAACGGTAGTGACGAGAGGTGGAAATAATCAAGTATAACAGCCTCGTTTAGTGTGACCGGTGGTGAGCAAGCCACGCCCCCTCCTCTCTTGTGTTGTCATATCAGGGGCTTTCTCTAAATAGGGAAGCCAGACGCCTTATGAGCCGTAACGACTGCCAAAAGCTCACTCGCATTCCTCCGCCGAGTCTTAAGTAAAGGCATAGAAAACTAAAGGAAAGTTAAGTCCATATGACGTTTCTTCACCTCCCGGACACCCGACCTCTTGGCTGGTTGGTTGTTTGGGCCTTAGGCCCACCCTCTTGTGACCTATCGTGTAGACAGACTTTGAGCTCGCGGTTTGACCACGACTGTATATGCTGATAACTACATAGAAAAGAGAAAACACTAAGTTCCCAAGTGCTTTTGTGTAATTTATATCTTCAGGGGTGAGTACAGACTAAGGAGTAGTTAATAACCTTGGTTTCTTTCTGCTTTCTTGTTGGCTAACGTTTCCGTGATTATGGCTAGCGCAGTATGTGTTCCCTTTTTTCAGTGAATCCATGTTGTCAATTCAATTTCAATTTCAATTGTTTATTCCTTGATAGAGGAAGCGGGATCCTAGTGCTGTCACTAGGTACCCCTGTACAATGACACCAGAATCATCTGGAAAGTGTGAAAAGTATATACAGTATAAATATTATAAAGGGGCTTACTAAAGCCTAAGGAAGGAAGGGTGTTCCTTTAACACATAATTAATATTATTTACAAAATATCTGGCCAGTATTGGGAGGATCATCGTGTCTCCGTCAGGGGGTCGTGGAGTGGTGGTCCAGCAGGCGTCACGGAAGCGTTGTGTGTGGGGACATCTTAGGAGGTAGTGAATAAGGGTGCGGCTGTCGGGTCTTCTGCATAACGCACAAGAGCGTTGCTCAGGGGATGTGGGGATACCAATCTCCCAAGCAAAGTCATACCCAATGATGATACGGGCAGCAATCACGTCCCCCTTCCGCGACCCTTTCCCGTAGACGTATGAGAAGTCAGGAAGTTTACGGAGGACATCGTACCATGTGGGCGGGGAGTCCAGGGGGATGGCTGCTTCCCGAGCTTCTCTCTGTTTGCGGCGGATTTGGGTCCTAATCTGTAAGAGTGTTCGAGGAACAACGTAGTCAGGTGTGGCCTTGTTGCAGCCAGTCTTGGCAAGGTCATCTGCTGCCTCATTCCCCAAGATACCGACATGACTAGGTATCCATAGGAATGTCACAGGACGGCCTTCATCCTGAAGTGTGGATGTTAACCCTCGTATTCGGAGGATGAGGTCCTTATTTTCCCCAGATCCAAATGCGATCCCGTCGAGAGCAGACCTGGAATCGCAGCAGACAAGCAAGGGGCAGAAACCATCTGCTTCTTCCTCAGCGAGAAGGGCAGCAAGGAGGGCTATTAGTTCAGCCTGAGTGGAGGATGCCCCGTCAGAAACTCTGAGAGACAGTTTGATAGGCTCAGGGCATGAGGACGGGAGATGTAGACACCAGCCCCGGCCCTACCTGTAGCGGGGTCAACAGAACCATCAGTGTAGAGGACGACCCTACCTGGGGACCAGTGAGCGATCCTGGAGAGGTGGTATTTGCAGAGAATAACAGGGTTCACCTGGGATTTCGGGAGCGGTCCACCGAGGGCAATCACTTCAGGTTGAAAATCCAGCCAGGGAGAAGGAGACGAACCAACAGCAGGGGTGACAACAATATCAGGCAGGAGGTCGTGTTCCTGAAGGGCTCGGATGAGTGACCCTCGCCACTGTCTTCTAGATGGAGGTCGGTCTCGAACAGCAGTAGTCAAGTTGGTTTGGACATAGTTGCCCCTAGGATCCCGTAGAATGGAAACGGCAGTTTTTAGGTAAAACTCCTGGACACGATCCTGTAAGGGGGAAAGACCAAGTTCGTTATATAGAGAAGTAGAGCGTGTCCACTGAGGAGCCCCAAGGATGATACGAGCAGCTTTCCTCTGGATAACTTCGAGACGGTTGACAGCAGTCCGACTAATGTTGACGAGGGCAGGGGCGGCGTAGTCGACACAGGAACGAACAAAAGACTTGTACATGGTGAGAAGTACAGGGATGCTGGCACCAAGGGAACCCCTGCACATGGTAGAGAGGGGAGCGAGACGCCGAAAACATATGTCTCGAAGATAGCGGACTTCAGGGATCTGACAACGTGTGCGAGTTACATACACACCCAGGTATTTTGTCTCATTAACCCAGTCCAAGGGCGTTCCTGATAAGAAAAGGGGTGGAGGTACAACACGACCGTGCCACATGGCTTTTGTTTTCGCAGTTGAAAGAAGGAAACCAAGTGAATCACACTCTCTGGAGACCAGATCAAGGGCTTCCTGCATGCTGAGGTAGTCAGGGGCTTGGAGGAGGACATCGTCGGCATATCCTGAGTGGACAACTTCTGTCGGCCACGGGAGTGATGCAATGGAGTGCATGAGAGTGTTAAACAAGGTGGGACTCAGGACTCCACCTTGAGGGGTGCCGAGGTTCATTTCTTGAACAGGAGACATAGAGCCTTCAACGCGAACCCGGGCCTGACGTCCAGTGAGGTAAGAGGCGATCCATTGTAGAAGTCTCCCTTTAACCCCTAACCGTGCAAGTTCAGCTAAAATGAGGGCAGGCTGAGCCGTATCAAAGGCTCCCTTGATATCAAGGAAGACGGAGACGCGGGCAGTCTGATTGCAATAAAAGGAAGCAATGGAGTGTGCTGTGCTGCGATGTTGAATGAAACCATTGAGGGAGTTGTGGAAGCCGCCTATGGTGTGAAGAAGGCGACGATGGAGTACCCTCTCCATCATCTTGCAAACACAGGAGGTAAGACTAATGGGTCGATATTTCCCAGGATCTCCCGGCTTAGGGATGGGGATAATAGTGGCATTTTTCCAGTTGGACGGGAGAACCCCATGTTCATAAGACATATTGTAGAGAGCAAGCAAGGGGCCGTTAGGAATATTAGTACAGGCGTTGAGGACGGAGTAGGTTATCTGATCATCCCCAGGAGAGGTGTCTTTTCTAGAGCGACGAGCACTGTCAAGCTCGAACTGTGTGATGGGATGATCAGTGGGGGCAGGGGAGGTAAGAGCAGCACGAACAACAGGCTCAGACGCATCGATGCGGGCCTGCACTGCCTCCTGCATTGGATCTGGAAGTGCCTCAGGGGAGGAAGCTCGTGCCCAGTCCTCCATTAAAGAGCAGGCAAGGGAGGCGGGGTCAGGGTGGGGAGGAGGCCTCCGTCGAGTACCCCGTATAGCATTAATCCGATTCCATACATAAGAGGGTGACGACTGGAACGATAGAGATCCCGTGAAGGATAGCCAGTCCGCCTCACGTATCCGACGGCGCTCCTGAGTTGCAAAGGAGCACCAATTTTTGAAGTCTTCCCAGTCCTCTGGAGACCGAGACCTCCGTATGGCAGAGTGGAGATCACGGGTTACCTGCCGGAGATGTCTCATGGCAGGGATACGATACCAGTAGTTGGTGGCACTTCTGGGGTGACGGGGAGGGCGTGGAGGGGTAGCGCGATTGACAGAGTCATACACGGCATCAACAAAATCAGCGCTGTAAGAGTCAAGGGACTGAGGGACAACATAGGAATCCGCCCAGGTAGAAAGGTATTGGGTAAAGGGAGGAACAGCATCTTGTGTGAGACGAAGGCGAGGGGATCGATAAGGAGTTGATGTCGGGGCAGAGAAGGAGAGCCTGAGATGGGTAGTAACGGCAAGATGGTCACTATACAGAGCAGGCTCGGTGCAGACGGTAGGATGAAAGGAAGTATGACCGTTCAATAGTAAGCCAACATCAAGGAAACTATGGGGGAGGCGAGTAGGATCGTCAGGACAAAGAAAGCGAACATCATCATCCCCATTAAGAAACTGTGAGAGATGTGATCCATTAAGGGTACATGGAGTGGGATGATCCGGAGTAAGAGTGGGATGGCGGGCATTAAAGTCGCCAAGAACAATAGTGGGAACCCCATCATGGAGGTCGTGAAGAACCTGGGGGTCCAGAGAATCACTCTTGAAATGAACATTGACTACACGAAGGGTCCGGTCACCAAGAGTAAGGGAGACAGAAAGTAATTCAGACGGGGGTCCATGTGAGTCAGGTGAAGGGAGACGAACAGATGGAATGGTGTTACGCACAAGGGTGAGGAGGCCACGAGCCTGCCCACGGTACCGAGGCAGGGTGTAAACAGAATAGCCAGAGAGGCGGAGTGGAGTAACATCGTCTGTGATGGTTTCCTGAAGTAGAGCAACATCTACTTGATGGGAGAGCACAAACTGGGCGAGGTCTGTCCGGCGAGGTCTAAGTCCCTGGATGTTCCATTGTAAGAAGAGGAGGGAACGGCCTCCGGTGTGAGATGAGTCGGAGGGGCTAGACAGGGCTCCAGAGGAGGTACCAAATTCTGTTGAGAGAAATGGAGAGGGAGGAGTGGGAGAGCGAGGGATGGATCCTCCATCTCGGGAGATGGAAGGAGGCGGGTCATCAGGGCTTGCAAAATGCGCCCCTGTTGGGTCAGGGTGTCCAGAATGAGTTGTTGTTGCTTCTGCAATGTCGCAATTGTTTTCACAAACAAGTCGAGTTGGGCTGAGAGAAGGTTGATTTGCTTGGAGTGGCGATCCAGACGGAGAGTGATTGTTTCCATAGAACCAACTTGGTGTACCTGTGCATGAGCTGGAGGTGGCGGCGAGGATTGCCGAGGGCCCGACTGGGCATGTGGTGGTGGTAGCGACGGAGAGGGACGGTGAGGGTTCAGTTGAGTAAGAGGTGGTGGTGCTGGTGAGAGACAGCGGGGGTCCGGGTGGGCAGGAGATGGTGGTGACTGTGTGGCAGGGCCGGCAACGACCTTGTTCCAAGAACGGTAGGGAGAGGGAGGGAGGGGAGAAAGGATGGGTGGTAGGGGTGATGGAGGGGGTGGTAGAGGAGAGGAGATCAATGGGAAATCCTTGGTGGATGGAAGAGGCGGTGGTGGATAGGATTGAGGTTTGGTTGACAGGGGCTTCGTCAGAGACGAGGGCGGTGGTACAAGGTAAGTTTTCCCCGGGCGAGTGCCAGGACGCTGTGGGCAATTGGCATTCCAGGCGTGGTGACTGCCATGGCAATTGACGCACCATGGAATAACTGGGATTTTGTTCTGAATTTTCGATTTGCATTCCACTGTGTCGTGAGGACCTGCA